TCACTGAACACACACCAGGAGACGCAAAACACACACCAGGAGACACCAGGAGACGCAAAACACACACCAGGAGACGCAAAACACACACCAGGAGGAGACGCAAAACACACACCAGGAGACACAAAACACACACCAGGAGACACAAAACACACACCAGGAGACACAAAACACACACCAGGAGACACAAAACACACACCAGGAGACACAAAACACACACCAGGAGACACAAAACACACACCAAGGAGACACAAAACACACACCAGGAGACACAAAACACACACCAGGAGACGCAAAACACACACAAGGAGACACAAAACACACACCAGGAGACACAAAACACACACCAGGAGACACAAAACACACACCAGGAGACGCAAAACACACACAAGGAGACACAAAACACACACCAGGAGACACAAAACACACACCAGGAGACACAAAACACACACCAGGAGACGCAAAACACACACCAGGAGACGCAAAACACACACCAGGAGACACAAAACACACCAGGAGACACAAAACACACACCAGGAGACGCAAAACACACACCAGGAGACCCAAAACACACACCAGGAGACGCAAAACACACACCAACAGACACAAAACACACACCAGGAGGAGATGCAAAACACACACCAGGAGGAGACGCAAAACACACACCAAGAGACGCAAAACACACACCAGGAGACACAAAACACACACCAAGAGACGCAAAACACACACCAGGAGACGCAAACACACACCAGGAGTAGACACAAAACACACACCAGGAGACGCAAAACACACACCAGGAGACACAAAACACACACCAGGAGACGCAAAACACACACCAAGAGACGCAAAACACACACCAGGAGACGCAAAACACACACCAGGAGGAGACGCAAAACACACACAAGGAGACGCAAAACACACACCAGGAGGAGACGCAAAACACACACAAGGAGACGCAAAACACACACCAAGAGACGCAAAACACACACCAGGAGACGCAAAACACACACCAGGAGACACAAAACACACACCAGGAGGAGACGCAAAACACACACCAGGAGGAGACGCAAAACACACACCAGGAGGAGACACAAAACACACTCCAGGAGACACAAAACACACCAGGAGACACAAAACACACACCAGGAGACGCAAAACACACACCAGGAGGAGACGCAAAACACACACCAGGAGGAGACTCAAAACACACACCAGGAGGAGACGCAAAACACACACCAGGAGACGCAAAACACACACCAGGAGGAGACGCAAAACACACACCAGGAGCAGACGCAAAACACACACCAGGAGACACAAAACACACTCCAGGAGACACAAAACACACCAGGAGACACAAAACACACTCCAGGAGACACAAAACACACACCAGGAGGAGATGCAAAACACACACCAGGAGATACAAAACACACACCAGGAGGAAACGCAAAACACACACCAGGAGATACAAAACACACACCAGGAGGAGACGCACAACACACACCAGGAGACGCAAAACACACACCAGGAGGAGACGCAAAACACACACCAGGAGATGCACAACACACACCAGGAGACACAAAACACACACCAGGAGGAGACGCAAAACACACACCAGGAGGAGACGCAAAACACAAACCAGGAGACACAAAACACACACCAGGAGGAGACACAAAACACACACCAGGAGGAGACGCAAATTCAAATGTATTTTATGCTGATATTAAGTACTCTGTCTGAAAATAGGAGCGCGAGTGTTCCGTAGTGATGTCACTATGTTCCAGAAGTAAAGTAAACAGTGGAGGGAACACAGGGAATGTAACCTAGCGGACCATTGACTTGCACTAAAACCTACGTAAACACACTCCAGGAGAGGGAACACCACAGAAAGCAGAATAGGGCCTCTTTAATAGGAGCTCGATTGTTCCATAGTGATGTCACCATGTTCCTGAAGTACAGATGGAGATGTTTGTGGACCATTGACATGCACTAAAACCTATAGAACACACTCCAGGAGAGGGAGAACTCTCTTTAAGATGCAATCAGATAAGAAGGCAGCAGCAGTCAGGTAAACACATCGCTCTTTATTTCAGAAACAACAACAAAATGAAACCTTCTTCTCTTCGTCTTCTCCGTCTGGCACGGCCAGTTTAAGGCTTTTTGATTCTAGCTGTGTGTTTGAGGTACAGCCCCCCTCCCCCTGCTCCTCTTCAGGTGTTGTTGTTGTTGTTAGCACCATGATTAGTTTTGTTTACTGCAACAGGAGCGGTAAAGGAGTTCTGTCTGCGGACTGTTTATTTCAGTCATCTGCAAAAAGTCAGAGCCGACGGGACAGAGTTTACAACAAAACTGTCTCATCTCAGGGACACAGTTTCTATTAGAGTGGCAGGACTCCCCCGACACACACACACACACACACAGACACACACACACACACACACACACACACACACACACACACAAAGACACACACACACACATACCAACACGCGCACGCACGCACACACACACACACACACACACGCACATTTCCCGCAAGTTGTGACGACTACGATATAAAAACAACCCTGATAAAAGAAAGTACAGCAACGCTTTATTTCACAGGTCCGTTAAATCTTACCTTGATATATAATACATTCAATTAAATACAAATAAAGAATAACAGACCTGTAAAATAAAGCGTTACCATGACTACCACATGCCCGTACCATCAGTAATATCAAAGCGTATCGGAGTCTGCAGCTGATCCATCGTTTCTCTACTTGAGACAGAAACACTGTGGTTACAGACAGTACTGTCCCCCTGTCCATCAAACAGTTCACCTGGAAAATAGAGTCCGGTGTGGACGGATGCAGCGTGAGAACATCCTGTATGTACGGAGGCCGACAGGTGCAGTGTGAGAACATCCTGTACGTACGGAGGCCGACAGGTGCAGCGTGAGAACATCCTGTATGTACGGAGGCCGACAGGTGCAGTGTGAGAACATCCTGTACGTACGGAGGCCGACAGGTGCAGCGTGAGAACATCCTGTAAGTACGGAGGCCGACTGATGCAGCGTGAGAACATCCTGTATGTACGGAGGCCGACAGGTGCAGAAAGGATGCAGATATAGAAACACAAATGCTCCAAAACACACGAAGAGACTTCTTCAGCAACTTGAGGACACATGCAGCGTCACTCTTTAGTGTCCCCTGGTCTCCCAGCTGGGTGCGTCACTCTTTAGTGTCCCCTGGTCTCCCAGCTGTGTGCGTCACTCTCTAGTGTCCCCTGGTCTCCCAGCTGGGTGTGTCACTCTTTAGTGTCCCCTGGTCTCCCAGCTGTGTGTGTCACTCTTTAGTGTCCCCTGGTCTCCCAGCTGTGTGCGTCACTCTTTAGTGTCCCCTGGTCTCCCAGCTGTGTGCGTCACTCTTTAGTGTCCCCTGGTCTCCCAGCTGTGTGCGTCACTTTTTAGTGTCCCCTGGTCTCCCAGCTGTGTGCTTCACTCTTTAGTGTCCCCTGGTCTCCCAGCTTTGTGCGTCACTCTTTAGTGTCCCCTGGTCTCCCAGCTGTGTGCGTCACTCTTTAGTGTTCCCTGGTCTCCCAGCTGTGTGCGTCACTCTTTAGTGTCCCCTGGTCTCCCAGTTGTGTGCGTCACTCTTTAGTGTCCCCTGGTCTTTTAGTAAACGCTGCCATGTCTCCTCAAGCTGCTGAATGTTCTCTAAACGCTGCATGTGTTGTTGCTGAAGATGTTTCTTCATGTGGAACCTTTGGGTTTTATATCTGCATCCTTCCTGAAGCTGTGTTCTGGGTCGTTGTAGCGTGTTTGCGCCTGTCGGCCTCCTTACTTAATAAATCCTACAGTGTTCACACACACTCTGCATGGGGGTGTGTTGAACAGACGGCCCGTAAACACAAATCTCTTTTTTTGTCCTAGCTTACTTTTACAAAAACAGATCAGAACCACAGGAATGTTGTAAATCCCACTAACGTGAAAACGCTCGGAGCCTTTTCACCGATAATCACATTTCCAACAGTTTTTTACATTCAACTCAAATGTTGCTTTTCAGGCATGAAGCGGAGACTCCTTCAACATCAGGGGATTACGATCAGTGAGTTCTGATTGTGTGTTTAATATGTACATGCTCTCACTCTTCTACATAGGGCTGCAACTAAGTCTGTTTTCATTTTGGATTCACCCACAGACTATTAAATCCTATCATATCATCGAATCGTATTATCATATTGTAAACTAATCGTTTAGACGAGGGACTAGGACACTTCAATTTGACTTTTAAACGTACAAATAAAATATTTCAGCATGCATTCTGGTTGCAGTCACTTTTAATGAAACACACCTGTGAACCTGGATGGTCAAAATGACCAGAAGACGTGCTGAAGAAAAGCATCTTGCACAGCAATGGCAATACTTCAAAGTCAAATTGAAAGGCTGTCCTTCTTACTTTCCTCTTGAGGATTCACCGCCTTTAGATTATGGTTTGACTCCAAAACTGTGTCCTGTAAATGTTTGTAATGATTTTAAAACATATTTTTAAAATATTATAATTAAGGGTGGCTAACTGTAGCTCACCCACAGCGAGCTTTATCACGTGCACAAGAAAAAGAGTCTTGTTGCAGCCCTACATCTGGTCCAGTTCTATAGATACTCCTGCATGTTGAAGGCCGTCTCTGTGAGAGGATGTGCAGCTTCCCATCACCCCCTTCCTGAACCACCTCCTGTACCACCTCCTGTACCACTTCCCGTACCCCGTCCTGTACCCCCTTCCTGTACCACCTCATGTACCACTTCCCGTACCCCCTCCTGTACCCCCTTCCTGTACCCCCTCCTGTACCACTTCCTGTACCCCCTCCTGTACCACTTCCTGTACCCCCTCCTGTACCCCCTCCTGTACCCCCTCCTGTACCCCATCCTGTACCACCTCCTGTACCACCTCCTGTACCCCCTCCTGTACCACCTCCTGTACCCCATCTTGTACCACTTCCTGTACCCCCTCCTGTACCCCCTCATGTACCCCCTCCTGTACCACTTCCTGTACCACCTCCTGTACCACTTCCTGTACCACTTCCTGACCTGAGAACTGATACAGTAACCAGGAATATGCACCATCACCATCATCAAACACCACACAGCACTTTGCTTCTGTAAAAAAAAACAATAAAAAGGGACACCACACTCCGTCGCTTCCTCCGCCCGTTTGTCTCAGAGAGAAACGCGGCGAGAGTCTTTATTCCACACGGCGGCGTTGAGTTGAGTCTGATCTCATTGAAGGCGTCACACCGTGGTCTCGTACTCCATCACCTCTTTGGGCGTGGCCAGGCAGCGGTACTGGATCCGGGGCGTGACGGGCGCCGCGCTCTCCAGCACGAGGATGGTTTTACGCAGCCGGCGGTCGATGAAGTGAGCGTCCCAGGCCGGGTACTTCTTCCTGGGCAGATCTATCCGGATCACGGGCCCCTCTGTGCGCGGGGAGAGACTGGGAACAGGAGCCTGGACCCCCCGCTGAGGCCGAACCTGAAACACGTCTCCGTCCACCCCCGAATAATCCGGCCCTTTAGTCCTCTGCAGGGTTCTGGGGGGGCTGCTAACCACATCCGGCGGGAGGCTAACCGCCGGGGAAGCTAGCAACTCCACGGGCAAATCCTCCTTCTCAACGACTGGCCGCCACCCCGACACGGGCCCGTCGGGGTGCAGCAGGCAGTAATAAACACACATGAAGAAGCTGCCCAAAGCGTAGCTGCTGGACACGACGCACACCATGGCGACGGCGTAGGATTCCGAGGAAGAGGGGCCTCGGTGAAGGTACCAGGCGGCGGTGAGGAACACGTTCTCCAGCAGAACCGTCAGGCTGTAAGGCAACGCAGGTTTATTCATACAGAACCTTTCAGCACAAGGCAATTCAAAGTGCTTTACAAACATGGAAGACATTAAGAGCTTCAAAGGTCCCCTATCATACTGTTCTTCATCGATATATCACAGGTCTCAGATATATCCAGAGCCTGTCTCTGATTGGCTGACACACCAAACAGATCATTGCAGCATTACCCATAATCCCCTCTGTTTCAGCCCTGTTTCCAAAGTGCTGATTCTCTGTCTGTTACTTTAGATGAAAATAAGGAGCCCCTCCCCACGCCCCTCTGAGAGAGATTTGGTTACAAAGAACTCAATGGGAGATTCAGGTGATAAGGGGGGGGAGGTTACCTTGGTTGCTGATTGGCTAATGGTTACACAAGACAAAACATCGTTATGACATCATCAAGTGGCCAAAATCTGATCAGCTCATTTCAGACAGGTTTCTATAGAAATTGATCAAAAAGAGAGAAAATCTTTGTTCCTGAAACTTTCAGAGTCTCTTTCCACAGAGGGGACACATGTTGATGAAGAAGAGACATGAAGAAGAGGGGACACATGTTGATGAAGAAGAGACATGAAGAAGAGGGGACACATGTTGATGTAGAAGAGACATGAAGAAGAGGACACATTTGATGTAGAAGAGACATGAAGAAGAGGGGACACATGTTGATGTAGAAGACACATGAAGAAGAGGGGACACATGTTGATGTAGAAGAGACATGAGAAGAGGGCACACATGTTGATGTAGAAGAGACATGAAGAAGAGGGGACACATGTGATGTAGGAAGAGACATGAAGAAGAGGGGACACATGTTGATGTAGAAGAGACATGAAGAAGAGGGGACACATGTTGATGTAGAAGAGACATGAAGAAGAGGGGACACATGTTGATGTAGAAGAGACATGAAGAAGAGGGGACACATGTTGATGTAGAAGAGACATGAAGAAGAGGGGACACATGTTGATGTAGAAGAGACATGAAGAAGAGGGGACACATGTTGATGTAGAAGAGACATGAAGAAGAGGGGACACATGTTGATGTAGAAGAGACATGAAGAAGAGGGGACACATGTTGATGTAGAAGGAGACATGAAGAAGAGGGGACACATGTTGATGTAGAAGAGACATGAAGAAGAGGGGACACATGTTGATGTAGAAGAGACATGAAGAAGAGGGGACACATGTTGATGTAGAAGAGACATGGAGAAGAGGGGACACATGTTGATGTAGAAGAGACATAGAGAAGAGGGGACACATGTTGATGTAGAAGAGACATGAGAAGAGGGGACACATGTTGATGTACAAGAGACATGGAGAAGAGGGGACACATGTTGATGTAGAAGAGACATGGAGAAGAGGGGACACATGTTGATGTAGAAGAGACATGAAGAAGAGGGGACACATGTTGATGTAGAAGAGACATGAAGAAGAGGGGACACATGTTGATGTAGAAGAGACATGGAGAAGAGGGGACACATGTTGATGTAGAAGCGACATGAAGAAGAGGGGACACATGTTAATGTAGAAGAGACATGAAGAAGAGGGGACACATGTTGATGTAGAAGAGACATGAAGAAGAGGGGACACATGTTGATGTAGAAGAGACATGAAGAAGAGGGGACACATGTTGATGTAGAGGAGACATGAAGAAGAGGGGACACATGTTGATGTAGAAGAGACATGAAGAAGAGGGGACACATGTTGATGTAGAAGAGACATGAGAGAGAAGAGGGGACACATGTTGATGTAGAAGAGACATGAAGAAGAGGGGACACATGTTGATGTAGAAGAGACATGAAGAAGAGGGGACACATGTTGATGTAGAAGAGACATCACAAAGTGCATTTTGCATGATAGGTGACCTTTAACCCCAATAAGGACACCACTTAGGGGACTTGAACCTGTAGATCAGCAGCCGGCAGCGGGTGCGGCCCTCCCTCACGCTGAACCAGCAGAAGATGTAGACGATGCCCACCATCATGTTGTAGATGATCTCCTCCCACTTGGACATGCAGAAGTCCGTCTCGCCCTGGATGATCCAGAAGGTCATGACGCACCAGTGCGCCACCACGAAGACGCCGAAGTAGAGCGGGAACACGGAGGCGAACAGAGCGAAGGCCAGCGTGCGGGCTCCGATGGTGAAGAGGTGCCACAGGATCTGCACCAGCACCGCCTTGTAGCTCATCGGCAGCTTATCGTCCCGCGAGTCCCGCAGAACCTTCTGATACGAGGCCACCATCCAGGACAGGGAGACCAGGGAGGCCGAGGCTGAGAGACCTGCAGAGACAACAGGAGTTACAGAGGAGGAGGACACATGGCTGTGCCCCAAAAGGAAATGTGTATTTATTGTAGAAAATGTTTGCAAAGTAAAAATGTTAGTCCCATTTGGCCCTCTGTGAGTTCTGGAGAATCACCGGCCTTCCTCCAAACGTCACCATGTCAGCTGCACACTGAGAGGAACTGTGGGTTCTGACTCGCCAAGTTCAGATACCTTTGATCAGGTTAAGGCCTGGTGTCCCCGTGTGTCTCAGGGCTGCCGAAACGCACCAGAAGGACACTCAGGGACTTTGTTTATCAGGGGGACATTCATGTTTGCAGTCCACATTAGCGGTCGCTCGCATGTCGAGATGTTTCTGTGCCCCTGTTTTCAACGTACACACGTCTATAGGCACTATGGCTGTGGAGTCAAAAGTAACCTAGTGATCGGACCTCTATCGGTTTTTGTGATCACATGTTTTATCTATTTAAGCAGAAACACAGAAAAACAAGACACATACATACCCCGTGAAAGAACATACAGTTCCCTTACAAAACAAACTAAAATGAAACCCCACCCTCCCAGGACCCCCGTGGGCCGGATCAAGTGGCACCAGGTAGTTCAGAGTTAGACGTCTCCATGGATGAAGCAGAATATGGAACCTCAGATGTGTGTGTGGCTCGCGGTGCAGCAGCTCGTGTGGTCAGCGGATCTGATGCAGGTCAACTGAGGGCTCGGTCCTCGGCTCTCACATCACTGATGCTTGTAAACAGGATGAAGCTTGAATGCTTTAACGACTCCCTGCTGAGCCCTCCTGTCTCCAGACGTCCACTAACTGAGCCAGGCTGCTTCCAGTCAGGAGCCTCTCTTCTGCTTCTTAGACCAGGAGCTTCACCTCCGTCTCCTCAAAGAAATGCAGTCGACTGGCCCTTTGTTCACCAAGATGTTTAGATGTGATGACCATGACCGTGGGGATGCTGAATCCAGGAACGGATAACTGTCCACTTGTTTCAAGGGTTTCTAGTCCTCGAGGTAATATGGAGTCCTTTTTATCCATTCAGTTTTAAGGTGAAGCCTGGCTGCCAAACTAACCCCACAGAATAGATTTGATGGTGGCCTGAACAACTTATTAGTCCTAAATATTCAATCCATCATCATCTGCAAACATTCCCTGCACTCTTAAAGGTCCCACGTCATGCTTCTCTGGTTCTGACCCGTCCCCTTGTGTTCTGTAGCTTCTGCATGTAAACGGTCTGCAGAGTCAAAACCCTCAAAGTGCACCCTGTAGAGAGTAAAACTCTAACACAGAGAAGACCTGTTTATGCTGCCCCAGAATGCCTCGTTGGACATTTATCATTTTCTTCCTGGGTATCGCTACGTAGGGATACCCAGTAGCCACGCCCAGAGCTATGGCCGCACCCTCCGCCAGCCTTTCACGAAACAAAGCTTCCCAAACCTTTCAGGATTCATGCCAGATATGTACAGCGTAGGGCACAGAAGAACGATGCTGTTCCTACTTTGTTTGGACCAGCGGGAGTTTCGGGTACACAACCTGTAAGTATTCATTGTTGTTTGTGTATTTATGATGTTTAAAACAAACAAGGTATACACCACGACTGTTTAAATGGGTAAACGTTGTTCGGGCTGCTAAGTTGGGATGGCGGAGAAATGCTCTCTGCAGACCCGTTCTCACAGCGTTATAAACCTTTTTCTTACTCAATATCAAGCCACACTTATTGTTTTTACTTCGGCTGTGAGTGTTTGTGTGCTCAGGATGAGTTTCGCGCTGCACGTCGCTCGACCAATCAGAGCACAGTGGGCTCACAGGGGGGGGGGGGGGCAGGAGCTCCAACAAGGCGTGTAGGACAGAGAGTGAATACACATACTATACAGAGATGCTGTAAGAGAAACCAATGTGAGTTTGAAAATTAGACAATGTAAATCTATTCTAGTAGACCTCAACAATGGAACTATGATCAGTAGAAATGGCATGGGACCTTTAAAGTGAATAATACCCAGCTTCATATCGTGTCTAAATCCCTTCCAATGTGTTTAATGAGGTTATTTTCTTCAATCCAAACAGATCAAGATCTTTTGGAGACGAGGCTGCACTACCACTTGTTTTTCCAAAACCAACACAAAATGAAAGTTAGTGCAGAGTTGGTTTAGACATCAAACGCAGAGTCTCAGAAGTCAAAACTCATGATCTGAAGGAGTTTCTGCTCCGCTGGGATTCAACAGAAGCTCTACGAACTGGGGTCGGTCGCTTCAAAACATCAATGAAGACGTGGGGCCTGGCAGACAGTTCTGCATGCGAGTGCGGTGACCCTGAACATATAATAACCACCTGCCCTCTATATAGACCACCAACAGATACTGCTAGCCTTCTATTGAAACACAACACATCTGATTGGTAATAAGCATTAGTGACAGGTTCATCAGCCAATCAGATGCTGATGTTCAATGACAGTGATCAGTGACGGGTGAGCATGTTACTATTCGCCTCATTCTAGAGCGACGTGAGAGTGCACGATGACACGAGTTTAATAATAGATTACTTATTGATCAGTGTTGGGACACGTGTCTGCTTTTAACCCTCATAGCTGACTGTTGTGATTGTTGATCAGCTGTTGTATTGTTGACCAGCTGTTGTGATTGTTGACCAGCTGTTGTGATTGTTGACCAACTGTTGTGATTGTTGACCAGCTGTTGTGATTGTTGATCAGCTGTTGTGATTGTTGACCAGCTGTTGTGATTGTTGACCAACTGTTGTGATTGTTGACCAGCTGTTGTGATTGTTGACCAGCTGTTGTGATTGTTGACCAGCTGTTGTGATTGTTGACCAGCTGTTGTGATTGTTGACCAGCTGTTGTGATTGTTGACCAGCTGTTGTGATTGTTGATCAGCTGTTGTGATTGTTGACCAGGGGCCTGTACTACGAATCTAGTTCAACCTAACCTGGATATGTTTGAGTTAGCCGGTTGGCCTAATCCAAAACATACGCGCTCTCGCTAAACTGTACTACGACGCTGGTTATCAAGTGGATCGCTCAAGCCAGCCGTGTCCTATCTAGTTAGGTGTTCACATGAGAGGGGTGGTATCTGGAGCATTCGACCAATCACAAACATGGAGAAGCGCACTGACAGCGCAGTGTCATACTTCCTGAATGAAAAGTGAACTTTAATACTAGTCAAAAATGAAGAAGTTAAACTTTAAACATCCATGACTTAAACACTTGATCCAGGATCAAAGCTTAGCTGCACCTGCAAGGTGAATACAGCTGGTAACAGAACAAGTGTTTGAATGCGTACATTAACAGGTTTTATGATATCACTGCCCGTCTAAGACACGATCTGACTTTAATTACATTTGACTCGAGTGTTTCGTCAACTTAATGTGTTGCTTAAAATAATACTTCTGCATCCAGTCTGTGACACTGAGTGTTGCACGGCCAGATACGGCTCAGCTGACTCAGATCAGGAGATATATGATACATTATGAAGTGATATGCCGCGGACTGTACTTAATGTTACTCTGATCCGGTTACTTGTGTTGTAGCAGATATTTAAGTAAGCTTTCTTAACGCTAATGTTATAATAGTCAGATTGCTCTGAAGATGGGAGGTGATATTCTATTAATGTTCACGTTCACACAGTCAGTTGATTTTTGCCGGCCGTCTTTCCTGCAATGGCAGCTTTTCTGTATTTCCTTTCTCCTGTAATATGACTTGATCGCTTTAAACTCCGCACACTGAGCTCTGATTGGTCAGCAGGCAGTGCTTTCACTGAGTTGAGCTCTTAGCCTGCAACCTAACCTGGTCCCGACCAGGTTAGCCGCTAAGCATAAGTTACCATGGAGATCTAGCCTGCTAAAAAGAGAACCAGCTTCGTAGGACCGGAAAGCCGGAGTTTTCCCTGAATTTAGCCGCTAAGCGGAAATCCTGCTTCGTAGTATACCCCCCAGCTGTTGTGATTGTTGACCAGCTGTTGTGATTGTTGATCAGCTGTTGTATTGTTGATCAGCTGTTGTGATTGTTGATCAGCTGTTGTGATTGTTGATCAGCTGTTGTGATTGTTGATCAGCTGTTGTATTGTTGATCAGCTGTTGTGATTGTTGATCAGCTGTTGTGATTGTTGATCAGCTGTTGTATTGTTGATCAGCTGTTGTATTGTTGATCAGCTGTTGTGATTGTTGATCAGCTGTTGTGATTGTTGATCAGTTGTTGTGATTGTTGATCAGCTGTTGTGATTGTTGATCAGCTGTTGTGATTGTTGATCAGTTGTTGTGATTGTTGATCAGCTGTTGTGATTGTTGAATCAGCTGTTTGATTGTTGATCAGCTGTGTATTGTTGATCAGCTGTTGTGATTGTTGATCCGCTGTTGTGATTGTTGATCAGCTGTTGTGATTGTTGATCAGCTGTTGTATTGTTGATC